GCCGGTCTAAATCCAGTGCTTCAACAGCCGGACTGGATCCCGTTGTCTCATTTGATGGATTCGAGTTTGAGCTGATACCAGCCGCGCTGGACGGCGAGATTCGATTAAGACTGACTGTTGAGCTCGAGTGTGAGGGTTCTTCCGAGATTGTACTCAAACTGGCCGGTCTAGATGGGGGTTGATTAGACTGAGAATGACGTGGTGGGGAGTTGGATGAGGCAGAAGCCACAGCAGCAGCCGCGGCCGCCGCAACAACAGCGGCAGCTGCTGCGGCTGGGTCAAGCCAATTAAAGTTGCGATGTAAGGACTGCGTCACATCACGCAGGCGAACACCGCACAGTGCGTACAGTTCCGATGTGGACTGAGCCAGCAGTGAAGGGCGCGATTTTGCGAATGACCCATGATCAACGACTGGGTCAAAGCGGGGCAATGGTTGACTGGTTCGTTGGGAATCTGAAACAACATCCGGGACCGAAACTGAATTGCTGGATGATGATCGAGCGGATTTAGGGGAGTGGCACGAGTATGAGGAGGAGGAAGAAGATGAGGAATTCGCGGACGACGACGCTGATCCCCCCGAGGAGGACAGGGAGGAGGCGGAAATGGACGAGGGAAAGATGACTGGAGGCTGCGAGACAGGGGGATCTGCGACACGTGGAGGTTCGACAGATTGAGTCGTACCGAGTCCGCTTGAGTTGGGTGTGAAATGCTGTAAACCGGGGTCGATCGAAGAGGCACGTGTGATTCGCCTATTGTTGAGGTAGTAGTCGCCATAGAAAGCAGCCTGAAAATATAAACGGTGAACAGATTGAAATGAGTAATTCACAAACCAAAAATTTGTCAATCAAATCAACCGGTAACGATTGATTCGCCCCTCCCCTCCCCCCCAAGTATAGAATCGAACCTGATAGAGAAGTCTAATTACAATTCACATGGTGAGCAAAACTAGGCGTTTTAATATTGAATTGATGTTCCCGATTTATATATGCATTGGAAAACTTTCATGAATAGAGGAAATTTTAAACTTGTCCTATTTGTTCCACCTGAGAGGAATAACCTGATCAAACAAAAACTCCCTATTCTGAAATAGGCACGTGTTCGACAGGCCCTACCAACTATCTTCTCTGTGAGGGCATTTTCTCTAACGTGTGCGGGCAAAAAGACAATATTTATGGTCACATTTCAATTGATAAGCCATGGGTAGATAGTATACCGAAGGGACGAGCGAACTGGATGCAGCATAACGCGACTGTGAAGGTCACCTGCTCGATTGAGTGGTAGGAGCCATTGAGCGCAGTCCTATGGGGCATCCGATTCGTTAGCCGGACAGCAAGCTACATGGGGCTAGTGTCCTTCTGTGCTGTAAGTTTGGCCCATGTTAGTCAAAAAACCTATTTGAGATTGGACAATCGGTCAGACCAACTATGACTCAATGGCCACAAACACAACGAGTAACGTGTTTACCAAGAATGCTACAGACTGCACCATGTAACCGAGAACGAAGGGAATACGAGCGAACCGGATGACTTACTTCTTTGAATGGATGGAGCCAGTAGTAGAGAGTCGGTATGAACAAGATTGTGTTCAGCAAACAGATCAGACTGACGAACGCGATCAGGTAGAAGAAGTAACTAGATAGTGAATGCAGGGGCGGGGTGGAGTGCGGAGATGGTTCGAATGAAAGTTTTATATCTACTAAAACAGCATACATGCCACAAAAAAAGTAATAACAAATCAATGAATTCTTAAATTAGTGATGACCGGTGTACGTGTCCACAAGTGTAAAGAACAAAGGCTGGCCAACAACAACAACAACAACAACAAAGTTTCGAACGGAACCGAGGATATAACGTGCTACGAGAACCCAAGCTGGCTAAATTGCAGTTGGCATGTGAAAACAAACCGATAATTGAATAAAAAATGATCAAGCCTCGCAAATAACCTCGGTTGGGGAAGCCCGATCCACTGGTTTCCCACAGTGGAGGTGTTTTCCCACCACTGGTAGTTTACCTAGAAGAGTTGGCTAAAAATCCTGATTCCAAACCAACCAAGAAAAGGTGGTAGTGGCCTGGTGGTAACGTCACCAAATTATCACCCTGGGAGGATGTGTGATAAAGATCATGGTACTGTGATTTCAAATTCCAGCATGTACCGTGATTTGTTTGACTCATTCATATACTGAGCTAGGACGTGTGTGAAATACAAATATACCAACCCAGAAGAGACGTATGAATCACACACACACACACACACACACACACACACACACACACACACACACGCACACACACACAGCGAGCGGTGGTAATGGTCAACGGCTAGATTGGGTATCGAAATGTATTGGGCAACCCTGTATTGTACTGTATTGTGTATTACTTTTGCAAGCACTGGAGCTCACATTTCAGTTAAAAAATCACACAAGCTAACCGTCACAAAGTACATAATAAACCGGGAGAAACGCTTTCGCAGGCATGGGGACATATGACAAGCCAAGGTTAAGACAAAGTTCACTTATTGACTGCTCTTTCTTTATGAGTAAACGAGCAAGATACGGTATGGGTGAATTGCGGTAGGCGTTAATTTGAGATGAAATTTGGCGGAATTAGGAGTGTGTTGAATGACGAGAACGACAAAGTGTCAGTTCTGCGTGCAATGGGTGGTCAGGATCTGTGAGAATCTTCTCGGCAAATTTCACACAGGAAGTTACGTGATACTCGGAAAGCTTTAAAGCTAACTCATCCAAGGGAATAGAGAAGACACGAACAATAATGGTTAGATCACGGCGTAAGATTGTAAAATCCTGTTTGAGTAAGCCAGGAAAAATGACTGGGGAACAGTAGAATAAGATGGGGGAAAACAGTGATAAACAAAGGTAGCGAAAACTAACTGGGGTGCACGAAACTACCTGAGCTTTCGTATTTGAAGTGATAGGCACCACAGTGTACCAATGCAGTTGTGGATGTGGGTTGACCAATGAAGATTGCTATCTATGATTACACCAAGATATTTGACAGAGTCCAACCTGGATAACGGATTGTTGCTAATCACTGTGGGATCTGTTGGATATGGGGAGCGAGCAAAACTAAACAAACACTGAACACATTTACTAGGGTTTCGGGTTAGCCCCGATGAGGAGGAGAATGACCGAATTTGATCAAGATTGTCGGTTGAAGAGCTTAGATCAGAGTAAGAAGAAATGGTTTGGCACAACACGACGTCATCTGCATATTTCCCGGACAATTGACCCCATCCAAAGGGCATCTGATTCAATTGACTGGGGCATAGGTTCCCAATTGATTCAGGTTATCACGCGCACCATACCGCTGTGTTGAGCGTCGAAGTTTGACTAACACAAGTTTCATGTTGTGAATTCCCCCAGAAAAGTCACTGACTTTAAGCGTGCACAGCTTCGCCAGTGAGCAAATCATGGATTGATTTCTACACCAATAAGATGTTCGTAACGGGATTTGTTCGACATGCAGCCTGGACTCAGATTCTTGTGAAACACAATAACCGAGGGCGAGGATGATGTGTGAAGCCGCCTGGCATGTCATGGTGTTACGGGTTTGTATGGCTGTTCTACGCTTCTCCCTCCCCCCGATGGCTTTGCCACATGCTGCCTAAGCGTTCTCACGCTTCTTTTCTTCCCACTCATCACTGTTTGCAAATTCCGAGCAGGATTCTGTAAGCTATGAAAGATACTGATCTACAGTTGGTTCTTTCCAAGCCGTCGATTGGGATCTGAGGAATAAAGGAAGGAGTGCTGTTGATCAGACACTGTAAGGAATAGAATCCGGAAATGAGCCAAGTGATGTGTTGTACACGTTTAATTGTGATAACCCACAGCCCAATCAACAACAACAACAACAACAACAACAACACAAAAAACAGACAGGGGATAAAACATGAAAGAAAGTGTTGGCAGACTGGGAAAGCGACAAATCAATGTCCGCGATGAATGACTCACTTGGCGATGAACTGAACTCGAGCTGCAGCAAGTAGCGCAAGTGCCAAAATCAGGCCAACGGTTGTATGCAGAGCAGGTGACAACTGATTGCACATCAGACGAACCAATTCAGACCGGGCACGTTGATATCGCTGCTCTGGTCGTCCACGACAGGGACCCATGCGACCAGCGGGAATAGGTGCACAATTGGACGCGGACTGTTTTTGGGACTGTGATAGTGGATGCTGTTGTGGTTGATGATGATGATGATCATCGCGTACAGAGGAAGAACGATCGCTGGCCTTGGAAGATCCGGACGAGTTCATGGAGTGATCACCGTTGGACTGTGGTTGATCCTTGATCACGGACGGTACCGGCCCAGTGACCGGAACCGGTTGTGAACTGTTCAGAACCGTGCAATACTGAGTGGACAGTATAGAGGAACAGTCCGGTCGTCGACACAGACAAAACCGGGCATTCTCCGTTGCTCGGCGACCGACACGATTCCAACTGTGCAAATCTGGCCACGCACCGAGAAATCCGGCTGCAAGTCGAGCTCCCAGACCACCGGAAAACAGCAACAAACCCGTTGAGATCGGATTCAGTTCGAGTCCTAGTAGATAAAGACCACAAATTGCCGCGCACACTCCACCCCCCGCGCCGACGACCAG